CTTATTATTGCCAGTCAATCATCGGTTAATTTAATCGGAGATTGATGAAAGAGAACCTAAAAGTGAACCTACAGAATCAATAATATTGTCAGTATTTATTAATCTTCCTCTTCTTCTTATATTAGGTTTTTGTATTATACTTTTTCGTATTCTTATAATGCGCACACTGATTATTCAATTGCCTGCACGAGCATATGGGATCTATAGTGCCGGTTCCGACTGATTTTTCAGGTATTTCTATGGACAAGGATACTTTCAGGGAGTTGCCGGCCTTTTCTGAAGGAGACACGAGTGTAAATATTTTGGTTCCTACTGGAATCGAATTCGGAACTTATAGAATGATAGACCAATGCGCTATCTGCCATGCCACGGTCGCACTCAATATTTGTTAATACTCTGACAGTATTATTGATTGTGTGTGGTTAATATTGATGAATTGACATAGAATACTAACGGTGATTTGGATTTTGATTATCGCTTTATTAGGATCCATGTCAAAGTATGTCACAGTGCAATAGATACTGTATGTAAAACTAAAGTGAAATATATTGTCAATAATGCTGATCGTGTAAGATTGTAAAAATATTGATACGTACTGTCAATATTACTGTTTCAATATTACTGATCAGTATTATTGACAGTATAGGATCATCTTAAAGTCAAGGATGTATTATTTTCTTAATTTATGCTTTAAATTTAACTTCTCTTAACTAGTTCTTTTTCTAACTATGATTAATCATTAAACTGATAATTTTATAATGATAACTTTAAAAGTTACTTACTATAGAGCGTTAGTTTAGTGCTTTTAAAAGCCTTATATTGTTAACAGCGGATTAAAAGACATTTGATAGTGATTTTTATTCCGATTTTTATTGCATAAGTCATTATTGGTTTTGCTGAATTATTTAAAAATTTAGCTAGATACAGATCTGAAAATAATTTTGCTGGGCTATTGAAATATTTATGTAAGACGCTCAAACTAATTGTTAGAATATCAAAACTTTTTACAACTTTGCTCATGTTTAAGATTCCTTAAGACTTAATTAATTTGAAAATCCAACAAAATTCAGATTTGTGCCTATATAAATTTTTAGATAGATTCAATAAAATCATTCTTTCTGTATGCGAAAATTGCATACGAACGTCTGCCGCGGATATAATTATGCTAACAAGGCGGAACATGTTGGTAGCAGACGCGGGCGCCTCGTTTAATCCTCGCAAAATCATAGTCAGCGCGTTCTCCGCGCTTCACAAAAGATTTCCGGGTACCTACGTCTGCACATCCCTCCGGTGTTGCTTACTCCCTTTCGTCGTGCTCGTCGCCCAAAGTAAGCGGCGCATATTCCGCCGACGTCGTCGCCGCGCGCATCTGCGAATGACAGCAGTTGTTTCCAAGTTTATCCGAAGCCACGGAACGTATCCAGCCTCTTAATTCGCTCGTTTACTACAAAGGAAGCGGGAGAAGACACACGTATATGATAATCGCCATGTATTTGGCTAAGTCGGCGATGAGACGATTTCACATGCGAATCCCTCTTTCTTTCTTCCCTTTGTATTCCATTATCGATGCGGTTTAGGTAACTTAAGGCGAGCAATGCAGAAATGTAAAGAGAAATCTAATCAGTCGATACAAAATTCCCGAAAGAAAATACCCCTGGAATATTACTGTATGTAAATTTTCATCCATACACTTTTTAAGTTTAGTATAGTTTTTACATTAAAATTTTCATAAAGCTTAAAATAATATTTAATAATTGTTTAACATTAAAGTTTAATTTTTACATTAAAATAGTATTAGTTTAGTTATTCTAACACCTTATAAAAAATCTATAAAATATATAGACATAAAAAAATTCTTACAAATTATAATGTGGGCGAATTTTCAAAGTACCGTTAATGTAAAAAAAATATGAATAATATTTTAGGATTAAATTTACAGCTGATTAGATTAAGATTTAAGATTAAATAAATGATAAATTGGGAGAACTTTACAGTACTCTCTGAAACACTGAAATAGTAAAAGAATTACAAAATATAGATAAGAAACACGTAATACTAATAATAAAAAGAAGAAAACAAGATATTACTGTCGTCACGTCGACATTTGTTCCATTAAAATTTTGTTCTCTTTGTTGTAATAAAACAGAGGATCCCGTTAATGTAAGAATGGTATTGCGAATCGCGAAAATCCCTCACGAAGCGAAGTCCGTGCAAAACGCGGAGTAGGAATCGCTACTGCTGCGCCGGAAAGCTCTAAATTTATCGCCAATAGCTTCCTAGGTGCACGAAAAGCTATCTTTGATCTCTCTCGCACTGATTTATAGATCCCACTTTAATATAGCGAAAAGGATGAAAATCGATTCCGAGAAAGAAAGAGATAAAATTCTTCTGTACTTCGCTTATACTTTTACGGCGTTAACACCAAAACACGCTATTCTTTTTTTTCTCTTTTCTTAAAGTGCCAGAATCGTTAACCGGAAACAAACCTTCGTTGTGGAATAATCGACTGCGATTCGTTTCCCTTTCCGTCATGGGCAGCGATTCTGCCTTAGGGGACAGAGCTAAATGCCGTCGTATCGAGCAAAATTACAGCAACTTAATCCCCGTCTTCATTTCTTTCTTCCGCGCTCTTGAGTCCAGCACAAAAACTTTCGAATATTCCGTAGATGATTGAACTAAACTTCTCCTTAATATGTTTCCGTTTCTCTACGTAAAAATATTCTCTCATAGGCTTTTCGTATTCCTTGTAACGGCTGTAATTACATTCTTAATTCCAATAAGATATACTATATATTTAGAGCAATATAGTTTATTACGCACAGAGATTCGGCGAAAATTCCCGATTAAAATTATTAAATCAGACTGTGTTTATTTTGCCCTAATGTTGAAGGTGCCCTTTCGAGCGAAGAATTATTACATTTCTTCAGTTTGTTCGCGATCAAAGAAATATTCTTTCCATAAATATTTTCGTAAAAGATTGATAAACGACACACTATGTGATTTAAGTCATTCGCAGTTTTATATTCCCCTTATATTATATATATAGTCATTCCATTCTCTCGCTCTGGACAATAATCAAATTAAAT